GCGAGGGAACACGTGTGCATGCAACATGCACACATTCTGGCTCCGCCTACGAGAACCGCCGGGTGGTACCTCCGCTTTCGACAGTCAGAGACCATCTACCACCTACGGACAATCACAACATCCATGGCCAAGAGAAACATTTCTCCTGGGACGGGAATCGAACCCGCACAGCGCACGGCGACTGATCAGGAGACCGAAGAGTCTACTACTGCGGCCACCGCTGCTGCCTAAAACAAACACACAACATCCATGGCGAAGGCGAGATTCGAACTCGCGGCCCGGCCGGCCGGCTGATCAGTAGAACGACACTCTGACCCACGCGGCCAACCGAGGTCCGCCAAGGACTCCCCTCTTACACCGCAGCGTACACACTTCGATCTCATATTAAAGATTTAAAAAATGCCGAACATTTGATTAATAATGATTTAATGAATTTATCTAACGTATCTTGTGCCCATAATCTCAAAATTAACCCCTTAAAATCATCCGCAGTTATATTTGGACCAAAAATCAAAAAAAGTCAGGCAAAGCCATTACTATCATTGAACATTTTAAACCAACCAATCCTTATAATAAATGAGTGCCAGAATTTAGGACTCAGGATTGATTCTGATTTTAACTTTTTTGTGTTCATTGGGATTAGAAAATTTAGACAAATATTTGTTGGGTTAAGTTGAAAAACGCTTTTTAGCGACACTTCGCCTTTTTATACTTTGTACAAATAAAGCCAGATTATTATTATTATATAAGTAGCATCTGAACCTGTTATAATCACAACGCCCTAAAAGATAAAGCCACGAGCCTGACGGAGATATCGCATATGATTGTCATATACCACAGCGAATATTTCCTTCTAAAGATATACGTCCAGATATGGTAAAACATGCCACCAGCTACTGGTGACTCAATTGCCTACTATAAATATATTCTTCTTTTAGGACAATCCGATACTCATGATTACGATATATACAAAGGACACCAGCATAATTCCTAGAATATCGAGAAAAACCTTCTGAGATTTAATGAGAGCCTTCTTCTTGGCTAAAACCTCCGCAACAAATGCCTCTTTATTCAGCAAGACATCTGTGTATCAACTTGTCCAGTTCTCTCAGGAGACTCTCACTCCTGTTAGCTCGGCTAATACGGCTGGCTTGGCAAAGATCTAGCTATATGGTGAAATTTCAGAATAACTTAATTCGCCAAACAGCAAACTATCAAATCGGATGGAATTAATTCATTTATCTATGGATGTAAGCACTTAATCCAACTTGGCAGATAGATGAAGGCTAAGATACCTTCGTCAGTTCTTCGAGCCCAAATATTGAACGTTCCAAAACTACAAAAATGCACCTTACGGAACCGCCACTGAGGTCAACGTCGGTATCCTGATGCTCGTTACTTCTTCTCCAACTCTGTGAATAAAACCATTCAATTCGAATTAAAGCTTTGTTTTCTATCGATGGGCGCACGGTGATAGCGTAATAAAATCTGTGAGTAATGGGCGAAGCTTACAACGGGATAATGGGAGCAGTGGACAGTACCGACGGTAATATATACGTATGTATGGATACCAGCAACAAGTTTGTCACGTTCATGGGCTAAGATACTGCGCTTTCAGGGCAACAGGTGATTCTTTACTCAAAGAGGGCATCGGTGTCGGCACTGCTGGAACCAGAACAAACTCCTCACTGCTTTTTGGAAGGTACACTGCAATATTTTAGGAGAAAATTTTGCGATTGCCATGTGTATCCTGTTTTAGAGTGGAACTGTTGCCAACCCACAGAACGTTATCAACGGACGCACTACTGGAGGTGGTTGGTATCCCGCCAATTGACTTTAAGAGAGGCGCTAGTTGCTAGATGACAGGAGAGATGGTCATGGTGCATGATCTAGAAGGCTGATCCCAGATATACAGACCTGGATAGACAAGGGAGCGGTGCGGATAGATTAATATGCTGCACAGTTTTCCACATGACACGGATATTTTGACAGCTACCTGAAGAGGGCAGGAAAAAGAGAGTAATTGCGCTGCGATATTGCAACAAAGAAGAGGTTACTCCTGACTACCTACTTGAATGCAATGGTTGAACATGTGTGTACATAGGTATGTATGTAAACACCTTTGAGATGAGAACTTAGCACAACGCTGCCAATCATGATGGAATACTGCTATTTCTGTATAATCTCACACCTCCTGCTGGAAAGTCCGGCCAGACAACACTGTCGAGCTTTTCCGTCTGAGAGAAGCTATAAACGCCTATCTTGTCGACAAAACACAATACGTTCAGATGTTAATCATGATAACATGATGTTAAGCTAGTGGGAGTCAGGATCACTCTCAACATTGCTATGAGAACCGCACTTAAAACCTAGCATATTTAGAGCCGCAAAAACGTGAAGCGAATTATAGATATATGGTATATGAACCGGTACCTCTTGGTCGCTGCAATGCCTATATTTTCCTATCATTGGCGATATGCAGATTTGAATCCAAGGTTCAAATTCATTGGTTTCATTACGTATCTTTAGCCAGCTAGAATTATGATTTTTGCACGGTTCCATAACGTGACCGTGGGTTTTTAGTCCTAATTATTATAACCCGCTATAAAGTTAAGCAATACCACTGATGGACATCCACATCGTAAGCTCCAGGTTTTAGTTAATAGTGGCTGGTAATCTGTCACTGGACACAACTTTGTATACATATGTATATCCGTATCCATCACTTCCAGTTCTCAGTTGACAAGGACATCAAAAACAATATTTGTATTCGCTAAATCAATACCAAATATCATAGTCCAAACTACTAGTTGCTAAGTTGCGTAGTTTTTGTTATTATGTATCCAATCGACTTACGTGGCACTTTCTTTGTTTAACGCAAAGCTTTCTCAATAGGAGATTACGTATAGATAACATTTATATATACCACAAAAGAATTTTCGATTATCATAAGACCAGCATCATGTTTACGACCATTTTTAAATATAGCACTTTAGTCAGCGTTCCAAGGAATGCCGTAACGATAAAACATGATAACCAACTCCGATATAATTTTCCATAGGATACGTTATCGTGCTGGTAGCTTCATGTTAAAAGCTTTATCAGATCAAAAACATATATGTATCGTCAAAAGTTCACTGCATTTACTAAAGCACACACTTGTAATTTTTTTCATTTTGAGCCATCCCATCTGTGCTATCTGATTTGTTGCATGACAAAAATGTTTGCATCGCAAATCCTGATGACGATATTGCCGGAGTTATTCCAAAAAATGCATAGCTCCAAATACGCAAGTGCATTAGGCGGTGTAAGTTGGAAGCTACAATAGGTTAATGTGGGTCGCAAATACCTGGGAATCACAACCATAAGCTGACTTACGTGAAATTCATAAAAGCATTTGAAGCATAAGGATAATACAGATAAATTATGACTGCAAATTGAAACAAACGGCAAGATAATACAGAAATCACTTATCAATCAAAATCATGGTCAAGTCTAAAAACTTTAGTGAAAAAAGGTTTTTCACATATATCTAATTGGTTCGGTAATCAGCTGTTAACGATAAAGTAAAACGTTCTTTATGCCATTTACATCCGATAACACATTATCAAACTACAGTTAACTTATAATCCATCGTCATCCTAAGAACATAACGAATGAACAAAGTTTATCAATAAAATAGCTTGGGACCTTCTTAAATCTAAAGTGGAATATTCACATAGACTTTTAAATAAAAAAAAATTAAGGGATCTACTACATAAAATCAAAAATCTTAGTAATACACTAACATTATCTTAAATGAGAATAATATACATGACAGCTATTGAAAGTAATATCACATATGCCATAACAAAGTGGGGTGCAGCACAAAATTGATACATTTCACCACTATATCGAGTACAAAAAATGAAAGAAGATATATACATATGCATAGTATAAAAAATGCTGTTCAACATTACAGATTTTTTTGGATTTACATCAACTGAATTCCTTCTATAAAATTATACCTATCCAAAATTAGAGTGCCAAAACCAAATAAAAGTATATTTACCAGATGCCATGGCTTTTTAGGCCTAAAATGTAACAATAGTGTGTCTATAGACACAATAAGCCTTCCGCTTATTTAAAAAAAATTGAAAGTGTTAGTCCAAAAGTTACATATAGAAAATATATAAAGTTATGTACGCCTAGAAAAATCAAGTGTTTGAACAGCAACTGCACAAAAACATTTTTCTGCTGTAGAATTATATATAAACGTGGAGAATTTATTTTCTGTTACCTGTATGCTCAAGGATTTGCCTTTTGTGGCTTATTTATTCATTCTTAGATAAAATAAGCTGCCAGAACCAATAAAAAAATAACACGTATTACTGTTTTGTAAAAGATCTGAAACATTATATTCGCAACAAATAATTTATATTGTAAAATATTAGCTAAGCGCATTTAGAATTATTCTCGATACCAACGCTTGAAGCACTGTTTAGAGAATCGTGTGTTATATACATCTGTAATACATATTTTGTAATATGTATAGATATATATATATATCGTTTTTTTTAAAGAAATATATTTTTACAAGGTGTGGTATATTTTATAGAATGATAAATTCCTGAATTTGAATACTGAATTGAGAAAATGAGCAAATGATAATTCAGTGCGAATATTTTCTTAGATCAAAAACTCATTTTGGTAGATAAATACCTAATCTCAGACTAAAAATATAAATAGACTTACCATTCTTACGGCACTGTAATGCATGAAGACAAACAAACCCAATTCAAAACAAATACAAACAATAAGCTGTGTATGTGCAGACCACAGCTGATTCCACCAGTGGCGTAGGTGCTTTTTTGGTAATAGTGTTCTGGTTAATACACCTAGTATCACCTTCCATGGCAGTGAAAAGAATAAACACAGAGAAGTAAACAAGGTTTTATTATTGGAACTTAATTATCAGGTTTATTGTTTATATATGTATATAAACAAGAGAGAGAGTATTATGTAAATAATAAGAATTGAGTAGAAACTTTCCTGTCCAGAGTATGAATACAAAAAAAAAATAGTAAGAAAATGATAGTAACCATGATCAAAAGTTGTATATAAAAAAATATATAAACAAACAGAAAAAGAATAAATAATTGACGCATCAATTTAAATATTGTCTTGATCTTGAAGGCACAAAAAACTATTCATTCCTTAAGAAAGATCTTAAATAGTTCCCTAAAGTATTTAAAAAGTTTGTATCATAAATTCAACTCATTCGTTTTATTTAGGCAAGCAAAGACACAGATTTGGTTCAAACGATCTGACAGAATATGCTCTCTCAATGGATTGTATAATGGACATTCCAGGAGGAGATGGCCTAAAGATTCGGTCTTTCGAGTATTGTAAAATAGTCTGTTTGGTCAACCCTGTATGAAATATTATTTAGGAAGATTCTGAGACTACATTTATTGTGGAGCTTAAGTTGGTTATAAATCGTTTTATACATAACGGTATACTTGGGGATTTAGCGTACTCTGTAGACTCTGATAGCCATTTTAGCCATTTAGCGACGCAGTTCTGCACTATATTTTTCTTTTTTTCGGCCTCTTTGAATTTTGTTGAAAATGTCTTCTGAAATGGTGCCCTGAGAAATGAGGATTTTTAATAACAATCAAAAAATAAACATGTAATCACTTACATCAAGCATGTGTTGAGCATTCTCCGATATCATATTTATTCGCTTCAAATGGTTTGTCAATAATTGAAGAGACCAAATTTTGTTTGCTTGTCTTCTTGTTTTGGCTCGTAAACAGTCAATTGTCTTTCTTTGTTTCTTATACGTGTTTTGAATGACTTTCCAGCAAATTAGCCTTTTAAGTGGGTTTTCCAAATCAGTATAACGTATATCGCCGAAGTATCGAATAGGTTTTGTTTTCAATCAACATTCAAAGCTTAAATGCTACTATAAAGCAAACGCCAAATCTACATAAACGTCACCTTTTTCTTTACTTCAGGTTTAATTACCACCAGACTATACTTGAAGAATCAAAATAAAAGCTTAATACCTTTTCCGTGGAGGTTCACCATCACTATCATTTTCTTTGAGGTTATCTTCCTCACTGTCACCTTTTGCTTCTATGAATGTGTTTAAAATCCTGAAATAATGAAAATACAATGCACTAAAATAAAGACTGATATTAGCTGGCTGAACTTGAAAATAAAAATAGATGGGTACGTACATCATATCTAATTCTGAGGCATGGGTACGGGACTGTGGTGAGCACTTAATGTAGCGGATTCAGATAATGACTGGGTGCCTGACAGCGAAGCTGATAGGGTGCTACTATCTGTTGTTCGATCTTGTTCAGGAAAACTGTATTCACATACCATTTCTGTTGCTACTTCTGGTGACTTTATTTGTTCTCTGTAAACACTTCAATAGTCAAACTTCTAGATACTTTGGAGATTATTTAATTTCATACCTAGGTAGATTCCTGCTTTCCAGTTGTTCGCTATTTGAATGGCTTAGGGCAATTTCCTGGGCAAGATTGATTTTATTCTCCTCATCACTGGAATCACTTTAAAATAGATAAGTAAAAGTATAGCAACAAAATATTCAATTTCATCCAATAGCTAAATATAATTAAGGACTTACTCTGTTTGCCTCAAAGGCTCTACTGATGGAACTGCTGAATGCTTTAGTTGAGTTCTTTTGCCGTCTATTAAATCACTTTTGTGAAAATGATTTGCGCAAATAAAGGCATGAAGTGGTAAATCATTTATCTCAATATTGAGGATAGTGCACCAGTCTTCTTGTTTTTTCTCATCACTAGAAAACCTGAAAGATCAAAAACGTATCTAACAGAAGAGTATTTTTTGAAAATCACCACACATACAGTGTAAAAACAACCAATAACTATAAAATGTCTATTTCTTAATACTAAAAATCACAACGCATCCCCATGCGCTACGCCCTTGTCCTCCCCTAACCTCTAACTCACCTGTGGAAGGTTGCCTCAGTTTTTCACTGCTAACTTCACAAAGAATGCACTTCCGACGTCCCATTGTCTTTGAAAATTGTCTATCAATGATAACAATGCTATAATTGCCGCTAAAACAACCTGAAAACACTTTTGAATACTCGCAACAAATTCACTGTGCACAACAACAAACACCAGATGTTTGTAAATTCTGTGTACGCATCCACCACTTGCCGTTGAACACCGTTGCCACGTTCGGCAAAAATTCGGTAGAAATGTGCTACTTTCGAATGAGAGCAAGTTTTGTCCAAGGTGGAACAAATCCAGTCAAACAACTGACTGGGCAAAATATTATATGTAATGTTCGCTGTGAATTACCCAACATGAACTTGCATCCGTTTTGAATTGAATTTACGGCGTGTCGGCCACCTCTGTGACCGTTTTTGCGAGTATAAACAAATATGAAAAGAAAAAATAAATTTTTAAAATTTAAAATGACGTTGACAACTGCCTAGGAGCAGTTGTTTGATCGACCGGAGCGTCCACACCTTATTTAAGTCCACCTTCATTTCGGGCGGAGTGCACACCAATATCTCATTCCATTTTCAATAGATTTTTCAGTATGGAGAAGTGGCAGCGTCGCATATATTTGTTTACCGTAAATACAGTTATGTTGACGACGATATTTTGTAGGGAATTATTTGTCTATTTATATTTTTTGTCTGAGTACCTAATACTAAATTTGAATCATGTTGAATAAATGTGACTAACAAGTACTACCATAGAATTCCTGCAGATGATTAAAAATAGCTTCAATTCAGTTTGACGTGTTATAATTAAGTACTTTTCTTCTGCTAATGGATCTGCCCAAGTCCAAATGAACCTGACGATTACAAACTGTTTTGAAAATGATCTATTAAAGATACCTGATGTTTCATATTAATGTTAAAAATTCCACAGAACATTTCGATGAAAGGTGTGCATTAAAGTAGTGAGATTATCGGCGGATGTGCATAGAGGACAGTATTCCACTGCTTCAAACGCAATGTCCAACAAATCAATTTTTTTGATCGGTACTGAAAGCTCCAACTAAAACTTTAACTTTGAGTCCTTAAAAAGTCTTTACTTCTATGTTACAAATTGTAACTTATCCTGTGGTTTTTATGACGATGGCTCGATTTTCTGGCTGAAAAAAAAACACATATGTTCAGATTTCTGTTATACGTCGATTCAGCCACGATTACAAGTACAATCGGCAAATGACATTGTCACATGGTTGTCAACTGTACTGAAAAGAGATCACAGTGGTGGTTGCAAGCATATAATAAACAGAAATCTAAATATATATGTGGTTTTGATTCGGCCAGACAATGGAGTCCTAATACTGTTTAGAAAAAACGATTACAATTCGAGCAAGGTCTCCCACAATTTGCAATAAGTATCAGATATTCTGCTATTGCTGTTGTTTGATGAAGACAATTTTTCGTAATTTTTCCTTTCCAAAATCACGAATTAAGAATAATTGTTCACATGCTATACAGATAATAAATATTAACTTTCTTTTCTTTTACCTTATTTAATTTATCTCTGTCTATTAACAATAACTGAGTGATACCATCGCAATACCGATAGTATTTCTGGCTACTTGGCTACTTGAACACCTCTCCAGAGAAAAAATGTAAACCGATGTATTGGCCTGCCACTTTGGTAGGCAATGGTAGACAAATGAGTCAAAAGTATGCACTAAAGTTACACAATTTTGGAGATAAACAACGCAGTGTACACGTAATATTGGCTTGGCTCCTTTTAAGCTATTCTAATTCGTTGTATATCAGTATTTCTCAAATTATTTCTTACAACCCCTATATGGCGACATTGCGAACACGAAACAACCGCCAAGTAGCGGCGGAGAGTTCAACTGCAGTTATAAACGTTGAGATGACTCAAAAGTGCGAAGAATTGCAACCTCTAGATTTTTTAATAATTTCACTGCACCGAAAACGATCATTGCCATACTATCGAGTAACCTTGAAATGGAAATTTGCGTAATAAGCCTCTTAGCCGTACACACCTCATTCATTTTTCATTTCAAGAAATGGTGGAAGTGCTAGCCATCTAAACGACGCAGGTGGCAACGTGACAAGTGTAAATGTGCCGAGGTACAGCATCATGTAAGCGGAGTACCATCCAGTACCACTTTCGATCAGGTGAATCTGTGGATACGCTGCTGGTAGGTCGGCGATGGGCGGTCGTGCCGAATGGGCGGAGTCCTCTCTCTGCCCCGCTGTCCCCACTCCTCTTTCAGACCCGCACTAGGTCTTGTTACGGTTCAGATTTACTGTGAGCGCGACTGCGGATGCCGAAAGCAAGCCGGTGCTGTAGTACAGTACCACTAAAATAATCTCTGAATGAAAATTGTTATCCATACACACACGTTCTTTCGATCGGAAAATCGTGGCGGCGCGGAAAAAACCGTCTTTGGCTATACACGAATAAAATGTTCCAAATGAAAAAAACCGTCATTTGGTGTAGTCTGGCTCATCGAACGGATAAAGAGCATCTGCAGCACGTAAAAAAAACTCCAGGAAGAAATCACCCGCATCAAAAAAGATCAAATAAGAAATATCTACCCACGATAAATGAAGTTCTGAAAGAAAACAACAATAGAAACACGCGGAATGAACCCCAGCATACACTAATTCTATTATATGTTGAGGTAATAAGTGATGCGATCAGAAGAATAGGAAAGCGATACCAAATCGAAGCTAGATTTTCAAGGAACACCACACTTCGTAGTATCCTCACAAAGACAAAACCCTATAAATAAAAACCAGAACACCAGCATTGTGTATACCAGGTGACATATGAATGCAGAGAAGATATACACAGGAGAAACAAACAGTGAGAATAAGAGTATATAAATCTAATACGGAACGGGGAGAACGAATAAATCTGGGATAGCAGATCACACTTGGTCAAACCACCACAGAATACCTTGGGATTATGACAAATAAGATCTTACACAAAGAAAAACACTGGCATCGGAGAAAATTCCAAAAAAATGTAATGTAAATTGTAAGAAACATCAAACAACTGCAACTCAACCAACCGGAACGAGGGACACATCATTACCAACCACCAGTCACGTCATCAAACGGTATAAATAGTCAAGAAAGGAGCATGTTCGCCAGTTCACCTGATGACGATTGAAGATTACATCATTCGAAACGCCGTGAATCAAAAACCTTATAGACAACCAAAGTCGGAGAAGCAACATAGTCTGGCCGTTGCACATCTCACAGAATTTCCACTCTAGAGCAGCAAAGTAGCAAAAACGCTGGCTACTGGTTGCGGTGAAACCGAAAACTCTTCCATGTTGCCAGAATGTCACAGATAATAGTCGGTGCAAATGGATTCTTATCAATTTTAGAAGTTGAATGTTGGACAAGGAGCAATTCAAGTGCAAACGGATTTCATAATATTTCAGATCAAACACATTTCTCAAGTAGCAAAGTGGCAGTTAGCAATTAACAAACTAAAGCGTTTCAAAAACTAATGAAAATAAATAGTATATCAGCTGTAATGTGGTTTCTGAAAAATGTCACGTAATTTGTTTCTCTAATCTGATAATTGACATTGCAAATAATGTTTGTGTTTTAGAAAAAAAACATACGTTTTATCTGTCAGTTGAAGCGCGTGTAGCTCGATTTTGTCAAAACAGATTGTATAAATAAATGCAATAATAGGTTCTTTCCAACAACGAGTTTCTGCCAGTCCCGAACTGTCATTTACTATAGACCAGATCAATTATGTCAGCCATTGTTGGAAATTACTGACTAAAAGCCCAGCTTGAAGCTATGACTTATCTATTACTTCCGGCAATTTGAAACGTCAATTATCAAGCCGCAAAAAATAAAAAATACTCATGCGTATGATCGTATCCGTGAAACTTTTGCAAGGACTATTATTTCCATACTTGATGTGATTCTGCTTGTACTTATCAGCACCGTCCATTTTGTTGTTTGGAACGTTTCCTTAGTTTTCGCTGTTATGATTATCAAAATAAACGTATGCTAACATATTTGTTCGTAAACAACGGCTTGCCATATATCAGAAGATAGAAGAAGAATATTGCTATTTAAAAATACAGGTCTCAAAATGGGGAGCAAAACTATGGTATGATGAAACACAAATAGTAAAAATCGTTACACTTAACAAAAATACACACCTGCTAGCCAGTAAACTTATGTCTGTCACATGTGGGTGAAACGCTAAGTTCATACTTTAGGATGGTTAAATTAGAATGAAGAAACATCAAATAGATGACATTACGGGAAAGCCACATATGTTTATATACATTCGTAGGTGAATCGTACAGGTATCAGCGGTAATGACAAATGTTCAACAGCTAACCAATCATAAATAAAACTCTAGTGCCTACATAGCTATATTAAATATGACATCGACATTTCTTACATATTTTCCGATTACGTAAATAGTTTAGCATTCATCCGACCCTTTCAGATTTCCATCACTCAACATTTTCTTTAATTTATGGACGGTTTTGAATACGATGTCTAATACTTACATGTTCTCTTGTTTCCTTTTTCACATCTGCGTCACGATTGGAGCTTTAAAAAACTTTTAATCCCTTTCACAGTAGCTTACTAACAATGTTGCAACAAAATCAGAACGTTACTTTTCGATTTACAGGAAAACCACGTGTCATCAACCAGACCGCCAGCACCGCTAGAGCAACCGACTTACTAATTAATATAGCTTCATCAAAATCCGAGCGGTACTCCCTGGACTGTAGTGACTTCAGACATTACTGAACAGACGACAGCAAGCAAGCAGAAGGAGAGACTGACATAAGCTAGGTGTCGAAGCTTAAAGTGGTAAATGTATACAGGGAGTCCTTAAAGTTGGTATTTACGAAACAATAAGTTTTCCTAGTAATAAATATAACAAAACCTGTGTAAGTTAATTTATGCAGAAATATGTTTCAAAAAACAGATAAACATGTTTATTTGAGCTTCTTGCTCTGCGTGTGGATTCAGATCGTTACTCCGGATATTTGCATCCATAGATGCGCGGGTTTGGTTATATCATGCAACAGCCGTCAAAGTGAACACAGCAGAAAACCTAGATAACCCCAAATTTTGCACATTTAGAAAGAAGTTAATACACTTGTGTTTTTGAATCGAACGGCTACAACTTTAAGCAGTATTTACGAACAAAACATGTGACAGGGCAGTACTTGAAATACCTTGTCAAATGAATAGTGGGGACTTTTCTTCTATTCCTTTATTCCGTTTTCAATACCGTTTTGCCGAATTTCCGTTATTTCAAACGAAGTTGTTTCTGAAAAGGTAAGTCCTAACTTTTTGGACATCCTCTATGCGCCTTTTGCCATAAAAA